TTAGCAAGTCGGTCAAGGGAACAACTGAGTTCTTCTCACTCTCAATACACACAGAATTGGGTCACTCCACTAAGATATCATACAAATTCTCTAGCAAGAAAAATAGCCGTAACTTAATATAAGTTGTATTAAAATGGGCAGTGGTCTTTTGGAAAGTTGTGTGATACCTCAAAGGCATGATAGTCCTTGTTCTAAAATGAAAGTGATTTTCAATCACCTGGATGATCTCTAAGCAATGAAATTATTGTTTCTATGTATAAGACCATCTGAGATTTAGATAAGATTATTATAAGAAGAGATCAAGACTTCACTAGACTAGATCAGATTAAGGTTGGAGATAAAATAAATATACTACAATAAAGGTATAGCCACATACACATACAATCACAAGTAAAGCTGAAGCTCCATTAACAAAGATACCAGCAGAGGATAATCTATTTCCACTTGAGACACAGCTACACTTTTGTGATTTCGAGTTTTGATTGTAATTGCCTAAATAAAAATTTTGATTGTGTGTAACATTATGTCCAGTCTCTTTCTTATAAGTCTAACTCAGTATAAATCAGAGAAATTCTGGCAACTGATGAATCTCTCCTTACGGTTTCTACATTATACTTTGGGGAGAATCAATAAGTTTGAGAATAAGACAGACGACTGTATGGCACCAGCGTTTGTCATTCACTGTTGCAAACATGTTTATTTTTTGTTGGCCACATTTCTATGAAGAGTTTGAGCACCAGTGTAGACATTGTACCATATGTATTAACGAAAAAACAAACAAACTATCTACACCAGGGAAGATAAGTAGAGTTTTAAATCCTCCCTTAAGAGAACTACTTTAGATATAGCCGGTCTTCTGCCCAAAATTGAGAAAGAAATCCATATGTGCTGGTCATTATCAACTACTTCACTAAGCTGGTTGAAATGTTAGCACAGTCTATTACAAATGCGTTAGCTGAATAATGTATAGTACAATTTGAAACACCTGAAAAGATACACGTGGATCAGAGTCAACTTCAGTAGACCATTATTGGACAAGTTGCATTAAATCTTGGGTGTGGTGGAATTGTGTACTTCATTATATAAGCATCATTCTTATAGTTTTGCTGAATGTGCATTGCAAACTGTCAAGCATATGCTTCTGAAATTTATTGACCATGGTGAATTTGTATGAGCTCTTCTTATATAATTATGCCATGATGGAATATCACGCAATTAAGTAATAAATCACTGACTGCTCACTAAAGCTATTGATTTTGGGATGAGAGGTACAGATCTCGCTAGAACTGGTGTATGGCCCACTGCCCTGTTCAGATGTAGCACACTATCCATATAACTATATGGAAAAGCTACATTCTACAATAGTTAATGCACATGGATCGGCACATAATCAGTTGTATAGTGACCATGAGTCAAATTAGATGTTATGAAAAAAAAAACAGAGTTAGAGTAAATGTTTGAGTCTAGTGACTGGATATGGCTATGGCGTGTTCCAAAAGTCCATAACCAGCTTGGTTTTGGCAGGACTGGCAAATGTCTTGTCTGTAAAAACCTGAAAAAAAAGTGAATTGTAAATTATTTTAGTCGCATGATTGGCATTAGTGTTTCACACACACTGAAAAACGTAAACTCTACATCACCCATCAGTCTCTTGAGGAATAGTAAATCCAGAGTTTGAAGATCATCTCGACTCTGATGATGAAGGCTTTAAGTCGTATGACTTTGACTCATCTGATGTAAAACAAAGAAAATGGTAGTACATATCTGATTGTCTGAGAAGAATAAAATGAGAAAATATCAGTAGTGGTAGAATGTGTCTGCTCTGGTACTCAACGAAGGTGCCTAATCATTATGGTTGGGTTTGAATGCTTAATCAAGAGTTAGGATGAAAATTATAATTCAAACATAACTAAAAATTAATTGAAAATATTATGACTGAAAGGATATGCATTCCTGACTTTGAGAGTTCTCGAGTGTTGGTGCATAGTAAGATAACTTCAGGATAACTATTCGATTATTGCACAGCTAGAACAGTCGATTGGTAGATCAATCAACAAATGAAAAGACATTAAGTCCCTCACTTTCTAAGTTAGTGAGTAATACTTGATAGTGAGACATTAATATGATGTCTTTTATTAATTGCTCAATCTATTTAACTGAGTTTTAGCGGTATTTCTGCAGAATGGACCATGCGATACTCGCTAGAAAAACACCTAGGTCAGATGATATTGCCAGGTGAGACTTTATGGAAATTTTCAGTTGGTTTCGACTTTCATGTTGACTGTGAACTCTGGAAAATAAAGATATGCCGAAAAGACTTTGCAATTCTAACTTTCTGAGCACAAAAGTTAAGTTTTCTGAACATTTGTCTACAGCAACTTTCTGAATAAACTTGCCATCTTGTGCGTACGCTGACATAATTTTGTATTATGGGAATAATGTTGACCTAGGTAGTCTAAGGTTGTATCGCACTGTGATACCGGTCTGAATTAATTATGCGGTATCGTCATTCTCTGATTTCTGCCTTTCTCTCAAGTAGACATAATATATCGTTTCTATTCCTGTCCTCACAACCAAACGTTTTTACGACGAATAGATCCAGCGAGTTAAAGCCCCAGCACAGTTTATGATTGATTGTATGAGTATAGGTAATAAGGAGTTTGTTATTTTTACATAAGTGTTTGCTTGGCTTTCCTTTGTTGTCCCTGTTAGAGATTATTCTCTCTATATAACATTTCTGGAACTCGCTTTATTGCAGGTGTTTGTAGCTTTCTGCCAGACTTCAGTGTAATTAAATACCACATAAACGATGTAACTTAATTATTGGGAAAATGTACTGAAAAAAACTGAGAATCACACATTTTCACAGGTATACTAATTTCTTACTTAGATGAACTGGATATAAAAATAAATTATAATTATTGTATCTTACTGTCCTTCCATGTGGCAACTTAGGCTTATTCGCAACAAAGTTTTTGGCTTATTAACTGTTTTAACGTCTATGTAAGGTGTATTATCCTGCAGTATGTAGTATGTATAATATCAAAATAACGTAGCTTTTATATGTGGAAGCACTACGTAAGTGAGTACGAAAGTTTTACTTTTGCGAAAACAGTGCAGTAGTTGAACGAACTGCTTTCTACCAGGAAAACATAATTAGGATTGTGAGAATAGATTCAAAAAACTTCATTATTGGTGTTTATCGCTTGAACTAATGAAGAAGTACGTGACTTCCACACACACACACACATAAACTATTTATCTTATAAGGTTTCCTCATTAATTAAAGCAAGAGAGAACCTTCTATGGTTTCATATGGACAAAGAGGGGTATTAGAAGGTATTTACGTAGAGCCTACTTATAAAACTAAATTCGGATGCCAAACGCAACAATAGTTTTCTAAAACAATTTTTAATTCTCTTAAACAAGTAGTGCTGCTACAACACCATAGAAGTTAACAGTAATGATACAGTATCACAGAAATTAACAGTAATGCTACAGCACCATAGAAATTAACAGTAATGCTACAGCACCACAGAAGTTAACACTAATGCTACAGCACCACAGAAATTAACAGTAATGCTACAGCCCCATAGAAGTTAACAGTAATGCTACAGCACCATAGAAGTTAACAGTAATGCTACAGCACCATAGAAGTTAACAGTAATGCTACAGCACCACAGAAGTTAACAGTAATGCTACAGCACCACAGAAGTTAACAGTAATGCTACAGCACCACAGAAGTTAACAGTAATGCTACAGCACCACAGAAGTAACAGTTAATGCTACAGCACCATAGAAGTTAACAGTAACGTTGAATTATTTGGTATGATCACTGAAGTCTTCGGGCCGATCGTGGCCCAGTGGGTAACGTGCACTAGACTGTGGATTTGGTGGTTTTTCGTCCGCATCCCGTCACAGCAAAAAATAAAAAATCGTGCTCATCGATTTGGGTCCGAGAGTGCGTTATAACGGTAACGATCAAATCCCATTATTTCGTCGGACAAGAGTTGTCGGTGGGGGCTGTTCCCTCTAGCCTGTCAGTTCAAAATTAGGGGACAACTAGCAAATATAACCTTTGAGTAGTTTTGCTCGAATATCTGAAAAAACAAACAACTTTAATCTTTCTGAAAAAACTGGAGAAATGATTAAATGATTCGTGTCATTCTCCTAGTAGATTTAGGCGATAATGTTTATGGTTACGATGCCATACTGAAAGACTTCGTTCTGAAGCCGTTTCAGATTTACAACATGATATGTTAATAGTGGTGTGATGTTCCATTAAATATCGTATTGCGTCCATTGCGAACTATGTTGTTTTTCTTTTTGGTTAACTTGTAAGCTTTATTTGCTTCGAAGAAACTACTAACTCGCAACCTTTGATAGAATTTTTTTTAATACTTAGGTTGTATTACAGATTTTCTTCTTATGAATAAAATGTGTCTCTTAATATAGGTTCGCTTATTTTCACGCCTGGCATGGCCTAGTGGTTAGGATCTTCATTCGTAATTTGCGGGTCGCGGGTTCGAATCCCTGTTAACGAACATACTCGCCCTTTCACTGTGGGGGAATTATAATTTGACGGTCACTCCCATTATTCGTCGATAAAAGAGTAGCCCAAGAGTTAGCGGTGGGTGGTGTTGACTAGCTACTTTCCCTCTGTTCTATCACAACTAAATTAGAGACAGATAGCACAGATAACCGTCACAAAGTAAATCTAGTTTTTGTTCATAATATGATTATTTTATGTTAATGTTTTACGTACCAGTTTTTTGTTCTATCAAAAAGAAACAATTTTAATGCAGCTTAGCCAAGAAGCTTAATTGGCATTCCTTCTCTCTCCAAATCCCTTTTTGTTAGTCATTTATTAACAGCTGAATGATATTGAATATCTTTATCGAGCTCTGGTGAATTTTCAAGGAACTTTTAAATGAAGAATTGTGATTTGTACAAATAAACACCGTGAGGTGATTAAATCTATTGAACTTTTCAAGTGACTTTTGTTTAATTTCGTTATTGAAACTAGCTTTGGTATTGGAGAACTAACTAGCCTTATTTAGAATAAAGAAAGTCTGCAAGAATGCAGTTTCTTAAGCTTTTTAATGATATAGGTAGCCTTAAGCAAACAGTTTGCGTCGTTTGTTTCTAACCGCTTTTTGACATGATTAACACAGTACTTTTATTAATTGTTTAATTTGGTATAACCATTTGCAAGGGAAACTTCTGTGGTTGTCTCACGAGATGGAAGACGTTTCGCTATTGATGGTATATTTATTGCAGCTATGCAGCAGTGAATAGTCTTGAAAACCAGTTTAATTAATTTGCAAAGCGAGATCTCATTTGAAAACTTTTTCAAATGTTGACAGCAAAAGAGTAAAATATTCTTGAGAACAAAAGACCACCATATCTTCCCATAATTCTATGAATTATAGTACGTAATGTATAAATATTCCTTTGTTTCATTCCTACAGTGACAATAAAATTATAGCTCAATACTTGCCTGTCTTGATTACGAAATGTTACCAATGTTCCAATCACTCATAATCGTTTAAATCCATTTGTGAACAACTGGAATTTTGTAGCTCGAATCCTAAACTAAAAGGGTTTTCTTCGGGTTAATATGCAGAAACGTTGAAAATATCGTTAGTTTTCTATTATTTCTATTTTATTTTATTTCTACACGATGTTGAAATCATATTTTAGAAATATTTTAAAAATTTGTCCGACAGGTCTAAAGAGTATGCTTATACATACTGTACACATGAAAATGTTGCATTTATTTGATCAAGATGTCATGAGGGTGAACTTGGATAAATGATAATAAAGAATAAAGATAATTTTAGTACAGAGAAGCCAAGAGAATCTTAATAATTCCTTCTCCTACCAAATCCCTTTTTGTTAACCATTTATTAACACCTGAATAATATTGAATATCTTTATCGAGCTCTGGTGAATTTTTAATGAACTTTTAAATGAAGAATTGTGATCCGCCGAAACAAACACCTTGAGATGATTAAATCTGTTGAACTTTTCAAATGACATTTTATTTTATTTATCTAAAGAAACTATGCTGTATAGGGGAATTAACTAGACTTATTTAGAATAAACAATATTTGCAGCAGTGTAGTTTATTCGTTATTATTATTTATCCAAGATTGTTTTGTTTTTTCTCACGTCTTGCGGAACAACACTTACTCAAGAATTTTCGCCATGATGGTGCATTTCTTTAACTGTATAAATTGTTGTTCTTTAATAATTTTGTTCTCCAACTAGCCTTTGCCTGTTCTCCTATCCCCCACTCACCCCACGATTTGAAAGTTTAATTTCCATTTAGTTTAACGTCTCGATTTAAACTTTATTTCACACATTTCATGAAAGTGGATGAACTTACCGGGATAGTGGGTATAGATAGTCACACGTTACCCTGAGGGAAGAGAAATGCATAAAATGCCTTAAGAAATTCGTCACTTTTTCAACTTTCACAAGCCTACCGAGTCACCAGTAATGCTGTCGATTTCAGAAAGAAATGGAAGGCTAAGAGTAAGTAGATAACAAAAGAAAAAAGTGTCACGATTGGACATTGATCCATATCTTCCACACACAAAAAAAAATCTTTCCTTCCCTTTACAGCATCTTCTGCATTCCTGTTTGTGTTGCTTTACAGACAAGAGTGCTCCTCGATGAAGATTAGATTTATTCTTTACCTATAATCAATGCTCATTAGAGGAATTAACGAGTACAGAGTATTGTCTTTAGCAAGTATCTCTTGAGAACAACTCTTAGGCCCAAATAACTTTATCATTGTGGTTATTGATATTTCAAAAGAAAGAAAAATAACTTTATCATTGTGGTTAGTGATACTTAAAAAGAAAGAAAAATAACTTTATCATTGTGCTTAGTGATACTTAAAAGAAAGAACAATAACTTTATCATTATGGTTATTGTTTGTTTTGAATTTCGCGCAAAGCTACACGAGGGCTATCTGCGCTAGCCGTCCCTAATTTAGCAGTGTAAGACTAGAGGGAAGGCAGCTAGTCATCACCACCCACCGCCAAAGATGACTGATTAAAGGTTATCGGAGCTTGCGGGAGCGTCTAAAGGGATGGTCACGCTCTCCATCAAAAAGGATGTTGTAGGAAGATTGCGTTTCTATAAAGTTGTCAAATAATTTACGGCAAGATCAATTAAGATTTATATTATCACACTTTAACAACTATACAAAAAAATACACGTGAATGCGAAAATGTGCATTTATTAGAAAGTATTCAATTCTCATATCAACTGCAAGTTTATATATTGAATATACCAAATTCATCAAATGCCTTAATTAGTGAAGTATGAAGCTCATTTCAGAATAACACTAAAAGGTTTCGAACCAAACCAGCCCCCAGTGGCACAGCAATATATATGCGGACTTACAACGCTAGAAATCGGGTTTCGATACCCGTGGTGGGCATAGCACAGATAGTCCATTATAATGGTATCTTCTGTCTCTGATTCCATCGTTTTCTCATTATAAACTTTATTTTGAATTATTTAAGATCTTCTTCTAAATCCAACATTGACTATTTTTTGAACTGCAAAGCACTAGTGCACATGTCTTCACTCTGCATTCTAAAACCACAAATTGAATTTGTCATTGCCAGTATTGTTCCTTGACACTTGAACCAACAAATTTCAACTAATTATAAACATGAAGCTTGTTTAAGAACTCGTTCACAAAGTCCAACATTATGATAACCTATTTGAGGAACCATGCATGTGGTATTCAGGTACACCAATATCCTACAGCTATTCACAAGTTTTCACAATGGTACAGTTTCAGGAAGTGTTATGTAGAGAATACATTTATCATGAACAACAAAGAAAAAAACAAAACAAAAGTCTTTAATCCCAATAGTTATTGGTTATCAAGTAAGTGACTTCTAGTTGGCTGAATTGTAATTGGCTGATGGGTTAGGAAAAGCTTTCCAAATACATCTCCACAGGGCAAGAATGAGGAGAATAATGATATACCACACTTTCAAGTCAGACAAAGGAGCCTTAGTGTGGTATCCCATAATCTTTAGATTATCTGTGTCAAAAACAATTCCAAACAGAATATACAATGAAGAGAATGCCCAATTTATAGTATCTGTGTCACAGTTTGAAATGATATTGCCTGTTCTCATGGAGTAGACAGACAGAAGGTCAAACTGTAACAAGGTTCTGTGGGTTTAAAATATATGTATAAACTTTCAACATTCGTAACTAAAACAGAAAAATTACCCAAATATACCTAAGTGCCATTGGTCTGTTGGGATTTTTTCCAGGCATTTCAAAGTGTGATATCCATTGTTGAGCCAACACATCTGCCAACATGTCAGGAAATGGATAAGCTACAGCCCATTTCATGAAGTATTCAGTAATGACTAGCACATATCAATTACATCTCAGTTTGGGGCAGAGGACCACCTATATCTAGGGCCATTCTCTCCAAAGGGTATTCTCTGAGACAGTGTATTTTACCTCAGGACACTTCATGTGGTACACTTTCTACACCATCACTCACTATCTTGACAAGTATGCAGCTAGAAAGACTACTTTTGCACATTCACAATAGTTCTTTGACACTCCCTAGGTCATCTTGTTCTTGCATTATGCAAAGTCTGGAGAATTTCCAACCTTATGGATAGTGGAAACACTATCTGCTGCATCACAGGTTGGCTACCATCTATTAGTGATTCATAATGATGGTACAAAACACCATCCTGCTCTTATAACTGTACAAGTGCATACATCAGTAATAAACTTGCCAGTTTCTGACAAGCATGAGTTACCTTGATACATGACAAGTAACATCCAAGCTAGATCTGGGTTTCCTTGGTGTCCATCCAAACACAAATATGCCACTTCTCATATGGTTTGTTGACACTGCTGCTGCAGTGGCTTTAATAGCTGCTTGGTGTCTAGGTTCTGAACATTCAGTGAATGGAAATTATTGTGCTGGCTGTGAAAATATTCTCTTGGCATTTCTGTCCCAGATGTTGAGGGTCTGAAGGGAAATAACTTGTGTTGGAATATCTGAAAGGTGGGAGTTACAACTCAGAATCAGAGGTATAGTCTATTTTGATGTTATGGAAAGGTATTTGTGGGTCATTTTCACTGAGATAGGTAACTATCGCTATCCTCAGTCTCTCTTCATCTACCGCAACAACCAATTTATCTTTCTGTATGTAAAGTATGCACTATAGAATGCACTTTTGTGCTGAATAACACATTTCTATTGAAAAATGGGTAGAAGTAAATACACCTGGAATACACTAATAAATATCCAATCCATTTTTGTACACAGGCCCATATATTTCTCTAGTGAGTGATTTACATGAAATAGAATTAAAGTGTCATAAAACAAGTCACAAGAGTTTTGTATGTTTGCTCTTAAACCCTTTCTATTAATGACATTTGAACCTTGCTTCATTTTTATTTAAGAAAAAAGAAGTACATTAAGCATAATTTTTGAACATTTTCTAGTCATGGTATTATTCATTTATTTTTGTGATATCTAAAATAATATTTACATGAGGTCAAAATTCGTCTTTTGATCACAATTGGTATTACAGATAATACACAGTTTGTTTGATGAGTGCACCATGATTCATATTGTATGGCTGAATAAACTACATAAATAAGTTGGTACTGTTCACATTACATGCTGTTTATGGTAAGCAGAAATAATAATTTGATTTTGTAGGAGAATCAAGTCAAATGTTATTGTACTGTCTTCATGTTTCTAGAATGTATTAATAATATTTTTATGTTTACATATAATTTTGTTCTTGTTCTAGAGTTTTGGTAGTTCTGCCATCTATTAGTTATTAGGTATAGCTGTTCATCACTGTTTTAATATGCTGCTATTAAAGGAAGGAGTGGGAATCCTGAGTATGTATGTTTTATGGTTAGCTCAAATAGAAGAGTAATTTCCTAAAGCTTTTCATGATGTATTGTTTTTTTATTATTGTACATTAAATAAATTATAACAACTGTGTTTCTTAATTATTATTATTTTTTTGTAATAGATAAAGATAGATAAAGTTTAATTGCAAACAAACTGAAAGGTTTATTGAGATTGGAAAAGAATAACCCTTCTTAATATTGTTAAGTTGCATTTGAGTTTACTTGGTAAAAAGTTTTGTGAAGTGTGTAAAAAATCTGAGCATGTGTCAGGAAACTTTCTTTTGTAAGAGTACAGCCTAGTAGGTTTTATATTAATCGTGTATACAATGTACCCCAAAGGAAACCCTTAGATATGCAATTCTAATGTACTTCTTGTTCAAAACTTGAAACTTTCTTGGAAACACTTTTCATATTAAAACCAATCAACATATTTTTTGTTGCCTATGCAGTTGCTTATTGATTTACCTTAGGTATCTGTGTATAATGCTTTTATTTTCATAAAAACCGTGAACAGTCAATATTGTCATTTTGATAACTAGTGCTCTGTTATGGTAGTTTGTTTACTAGAATTGTGTTTGCTGGTAAAATTTAAAATCAGCTGGAATGATAATACACAGGAAAATTATGCATAAGCACAAATCAGGTTGTTTCTCTTAGTTTTTTATCTGAAACTTTTGAATTAGTTTCTTGTATGCTTAGGAACACTATTAATTTTGAAACTACTAAGATATTTCTTTATTAAAAAAACTTTCATACACACGTATGTATACCTAAAACACTTTTAACATGATACAATTTATGATTTCTAAAGTTGGTAGTAGAGTAGAACTTAATTTGACCCTAGAATAGCTAGTTAAGATCTTATAATGTTCATTACTACACTTAGATTTCCTATGTTTTCTTGTATTTTATTCAAATTTCTCAATATTCTACTGTTGTTAAAATATAGCTTTTTTTTCCATTTCTGTTTCAGAAATATATTGAAGGATGTTTTTTGCATAACATAACTTTATGTGCTGTATATAAGAAATTGCACGCAAGAAGAAATGTAAATTAATAGTGAGAGCCAATGAAACATTATAAACACTACTTTAACCTGTGGTCCATTCTGCCCAATCTGATTATCATGTTGGTGCACTGTTGACTGACACTGCAATTGCCATTGTAACATGGTTCTTAAAAGATGGAGAGGTCAGTCATTACACTTTCAATAGACCCTCCATTATATGTCACTATCAGCTTCTAATACCATGTTCAAACAGACCAAAGGCATAAAAGTCTTTGGGAGCTGCATTCTAGTTTCTTTGCCCCTCTTCCTCATTGAAAGAGCTGTTGCCTTTTAGATGTAACTGGAAGCTTGTGAGCCTCCCTCATCTTTATATCCTTATTTATTATCCTGTGGTACCAAAAGATATACCCCCACTTTATCATAATGGCCCTCTAGTCAAAGTGTGAGTTCTGTAACTATAATATTTCTTTGCGGTTGAGGACATTAGTCATGATTGACTTGTGGTGTGGTTTCGGAGATGATTGACTTCTCAAATGTTAAGCTGTGCGAGTTTTTCTGTCTTCATTGACAATATTGAAGCTTCCTACTTCGATATGTTTTATCATTTGGTTCTGCATCGCTTAACAGTCTTGTTATACGAACCTCCTTTCTCGGCAATGGCTGTGACATTTTCTTCTAACTCGTAGCTGTATTGCTTGTCGAGTGGTAGGAAAATTGGCCGTAAATCAAAAAGTAGTTACCAAACACGTCCCACGTAGCGCTATGGTTTAGATATGCAAATCGTATCTATAAACCGTGATTAACGCCCTGTGTTATGAAGGAAAATAGGAATCACAGAATTATGATTTTTTTTTCCTGTTCAGACCGTATTTTGAAATATGAAATTTTTACATCCCCGTGCTCTTCCTCTCTCTCAGATTTTGTTCTTCCTCCGTTCTTTGAATGCCTACTTTCTGAAAGTGTCTGTTTTATGAGATTTCTGTAATTGTAGCTTTACTACTTTTGTGAGATCAAGCATGATTAACATATAGAATATTTTTTTTTGGTACCGACGCTAATCGATTCATTCGAGTGAAAATATTTTGTTATGTTAGGCTTGAATGACAATGTGGAAAGTGTGAATAAAACAAGTAATGAAATTCAATTACACGGTGTAGCACGAAATACCCACAACCCAATTATTCAATAATAAGTAATGTTCCCCTCTGTGTTTTTATTGGAAAGATTTTACAGCAATTGAAATAAAAAGTGTAAGTTATTTTATAAGACTTGCTCCTTAAGTTTAAAGATTGTATGATATAAACTTGAACTATAAGCACTATAAGCTTGAACTGGCCATTCTCTTTTAAATCATAACATAGCTAGTGCTACTATTTTTAAGTAACTTTTTCACAGTTAAAATACCCTACATTTGTTCACCTGATTTTGATTACATTTATATGGAAACAAGTTGCCCATCGTATGTATTCACGCTTTAACAGTCTAGTACAGTATTAAGAGTTGCTAACGTTGTCAATCAGGTAAACGCACACCAGCTCAGCCGCTTCGAATTCTGTTGACGACGTTGAATTTAAAAGAACTCGTGCATGTTAAACATTTTGAGCTCGAGACGTTGTCAGCATTATTGTGTTTGGTAATGACATGTCAAAGCCGTGGAAGAGGGTATGGTAGAGAGAAAAAGCGAATGACAAAACTCTTATCAACAGAACAAACTTAATTTCCTTTTGACCTTTTAGCGCTTTAAGCTTCTTTCCTCAGAGTATTTGTTGTCGCTCAGAAACATAGGCAGCTTCCAATCAGAAAGAGTATTTTATTGATTATGTTTCCAAACATAGATCGTGTACGTTCACGACATTTTCGGTATAAATAGATTTTATTTTGCTTTTAGAAAAAAGACAGCAGTGACCATTAATTGAAGCACATTCATAGAGATGGTAGTTATATTTATTCACAAGTATTATATATGCATATATATATATAATACAAACAACCGTAGTTTGACCTCCAGGTTTATTTATTTCCATCATACGAAACCTTTTTTTTTTTTTGCTGTAAAATCATTTTTATAAATCTAGTGTTTTGTGATGCTTCATCAAAGATGTGTTACATACACACACACTTTATTACCCAGTACACAATTGTAACACATCGAGTGTAAACCGTGTAATGCACACACCAAGAAGCATTCTCACGCGAACTCCCTAAGTGAAAATTAACAAAGTGAATGGTTCATCGGCTGATGTGAGCGCTCGTCCCAAATATTCATACTAGAAGTTGACGTGGGTTTGGTTCTTTTGTTTGTTTTAAGTTAAGCACAAAGCTACACAATGGAGTGGCCCGGCATGGCCAGGTGGTTAGGACGCTCGACTCGCAAGCTGAGGGTCGCGGGTTCGAATTCCTTGTCCCACCAAACATGCTCGCCCTTTCAGCCGTGGGGGCGTTATAATGTTACGGTCAATCCCACTATTCGTTGGTAAAAGAGTAGCCCAAGAATTGGTGGTGGGTGGTGATGACCAGCTGCCTTCCCTCTAGTCTTACACTGCTAAATTAGGGACGGCTAGCGCAGATAGCACTCGTGCAGCTTTGCGCGAAATTCAAAAAACAAACAAACAAACAATACAAGGTAGACAAAACACTACCCCTCTTTTTCTTCATAGTTGTCTGGTTGAATGCTAGTGCCATCTATTGAATGCAATGAAAAACTATTTATAAAAGTAGTTTAGATTTTCTTTGTTACATAGCAGCACTATGTTTGCTATATCTACAATGTGTTTATTGGTGAGTCTTCACACAACCCAGTGCTAATTTCTGATATTGTATGAAGTCACATTTTTCTTCGTTCTTATTTTAATGGAGAATTTTTCAAAATGTTTTGTTTATTCTCAGTCTATGTAGTTTTTAGTGAAAACCATTAAGTTGACTTCTTTCTAGCTGCCTTTGTTTCTTTATTGTTCTCTAGAGATAATACACATTCCAAGACCTGTATAGGGTCAAATTCCTGTAATGCTGCATATTATGCAAGAAGGTCAACAACAGCAATGTCCTTTACTTGTAGAGCAGGTGATGTTTAGAAGTTACAGCCTCCCTTATGTTGTATAAGAAAGGCCAGTCACATGGTTAGCACTAGTCATTATGAGTAAATCCCACACTTCCCATTAAGAAAGAAATGTTAAATCTTAACAGTCTACACAGGATCTCAAGCAAATTGGATGACAAAAATATACGAGTTAATCAATTTATGAATCCAGTAGCAGGTGACCATCCACTGACAAATAATTAAAGATTGTTTTCATTTGTATTATAAATCTTGTCCAGACTATTTATTTCTTAGCTTGCACTCGATTACTAGTTAAATTCAGACTTACTTCGTAATAAATCCTGCTGATTCTCCTATTATTAAGCAGACCCACGAAACACTCTTTGCTGTTAGTTGGTAGTGACACATTCGATTATATGATTACTATATGTACAGTAAATTACATAAATAAAACCATTCGATCTTATCAAAAGAAGCAATTTTTGAGTCGTCCTATTTATTTTTGCTGCCCATTCATTAAAAGATACCAGTATGCTGTTTCCAGCACATTCTGCCAGAAAAAAGCACTGAATTTTATGAGTAGTATAGTTAATTAATTGAAGCGAATAAGTGTAATAAAGCATGTACAGAATGCATAAATGTACATGTACAGAAATACTAAGAATTATATATATGTGTGTAACCAAGTGAAAAAATAATGTTGCAGCTGTTTTATGGGGATTTAACTATCTTTGTTTTCAAAGTATATAGCTTTTATGGGAAAATCAACTCTTCTTTCAAAATGAACCTAGACAATGCAACAATTTCGGTAGTTTTATAAGGTATGTTTGGTACACAGACATAGTAATAGCTGTACACTTGTAATGTGTTTATATGGAATTTTGTGAGAAACACCATTTGTAAAACGATATTATTTGGCATTAAATGAACCTTTTGTTATAATAAGTAGCCAGATATGTATGTAAATTATGCTTCATATAAATATGTCGTATGCAGACTTGTACAGTTAAACTAGTGTGTAAATCAAAACTATCATCCCACAATATTAATTTTAGTATTACCAATTTTAATTTTTTTCAAGCACAGTTGGCATGAGCTGAGATAAATGCTATTTAATTAGCCTTAAATTTGATCTTAAATAGACTTCTATGTAAGATGTCACAGACTTGGCATTATCAGGTTAAGCTGATTTTAAGAAATTAAACAATTTCCATTGCTATTTTGTTTGTTTGTTACATAATAAATTTTTAAACATCATAAGAGGGACTCTTTCGGATTGGGATGGTCATGAAGTGGGATGGAGTAACAACTGGAAAAGGTTGTAGAAAATATAGGAGAGTTCTGGAACCTTTTATTTTTCCAGAAAATTTCCAGACACAAAAATGTTTCATGTGTCAATTCTGTCATTGCAGCATAATTAACCTCTAGAATGTCACTTGTACATTCAGAGGTATCTCTACATCCTTTTCAATATGCATGCTTGCAGCCAACTTTATTTTGACCAAGTCTGTTTGATACTGAGTTTACCTAGTGAACAAGCAGAGCTGGCTGACAATTTCTGCATTACATCCATCTTTAAGGAACCATGCCTTCACTTGGCAACCAACATGGCCAAGACAGAGAAGCACTTTTTAGGCAGAATGAAGTTTGTACTACTGGCTGAACTCCGTTTTTTCAATACATTTAAAGGTCGAGCAAGGTCCTGACAGTTCCAGTACCAACTAGAAACTCAATCTCACATCCATATATTGAATTCAAGCTGATTGCTGTGCCTGCCTAAACTGGTGATTAGATCGATCTTAGGTTCCACTAGTTGAATCATTTTAGATGCAGCTTTTTACCAACCTTTCTGCTTCTGTTGTGGCATCAGTTTGAACAATACCTACATCTGATAGTTCTCTGTCACAACGTCAGATTTCTAAAACCAGTAACTGTTGAAGTAGGGGCTCTTTCTTTCATGCTTTTGGTGTTCTTGGGAACTAAATTCATGTTTATTAGTGGTGCAACCATGTCAAATGGTCCTCATAAGCCCTGTTGTTCCACCTGAAACCATGATTCTTTCTTTCAAGCCTTGGGGGCTGTTCTGGACCTCAAGGTTTCTTTGAAGCAGAATCCACAGTTGCTGCTAGTCTGGTTTCTTTATCTTCTACTGTGTTGACCACTTTGAACCATGTTACTACAGAAACTGCCACCATCAGAGACATGATGTTCTTTAGATCCATGTGGTACACAATTGATTTGTTTGATAAACCTTCTAGTGGGTGTTTCATCACAAACACCAGAAGACATGCTTGGGAATGCCTTTCTCATGCAAACTCCCTAGAGCTTTTGCATAAATGGCATAGATTTCTTAGAACCCTTGCCTTTTAAACTTTGAACTTGGTTCTTATGATTACTCAAAGGTCAAATATGCATACATCTCAGTGACAACCTTGTTCAGTGTTTGAACAAAATCTAGTAAAAATTGCAAGAAAAACAAATAGAAATGAATTATATATACATATGTGGTTTATTACGTGGAGCAGATTAAAATAATAAAAAACATAGAACTTGTAGTTCTAAGAAAATCAGCAACCTGACGTCATGTATACATACATGTTTCACTTTATTTTTAGTATTATTCATCCTTTGGTTTAATATTTGTACTAATCATGTGTATATATTTTTTACTATAAGTTTGATTTGAATGAATTAAGGAACCTCAAATTTCTTAGTTACTAATTAAATATCTTTCATGATGTATTATATGGTAGAAATAATTCACACAAATTTAAAACAGTATTTCTATTGTTATAGTCATGACAATAGTTTTACAGAATTGATGAGAAGTTGAATTGATTTAGAGACACGTACATGGATATTTGTGAAAAACAATTCAAATTCTAGGGTAAGAACAGTATTTTTCTCAGATTTTGTGCTGTACAATTTATGTTTTAATACTAAATGTTATTTTTATTTTTTTCAGTTAGAAAAAAGTCTTAAGACATATCAAGAACTGATTACTATGCCTGTGTTACACAATGGTGCTACTGGACAAAATGAACTAGAACAGCTTCGAATGAAAGCTAATAAGATCACGGATGAAGTAAGTTATAAGTTTATAACATACTCACTACTCATTGCTGAATTTTGCAGATATCAGTCATTTACTGCATCTAGCCCTTCTGCCACCCCAACCTGGCCTCCTGGTGTATTCTCCTGTAGCCTGATATCTGTGCTACAATCTGTTGACCACCAATTGTGACACTCCCATGACCTGTTGCAATGTGATGGCTCTGCAAACTTCAGTTTCAGTTAATTTGTTTCTAACATATTGCACACGCTTTGAAAAAATCAGTACCAGTCTAAAATCCATAAACGAAGCATTGGCTCAACAGTAGACATTCTTCCTAATCATTCAAAATCAGCTTTTTACTTTGCAGAATTTGGCTTCTTTCTCATAAAGGCTTATTATATAAAGAATCACTGATGCATAAATTTCGAAACCCTATGTAGGATTAGTGTAATCCTTTAAAATAAACATGCTATATTTGAAAAAATTATAACCTACAAATATACAAATTTAAACAACCTTATTATCCTTTAATTGTTGTCAGTGCCTAACCATGGGACTTTTTATTCCTGCATTATATAACTGAGAATGCATATAATGTGCATATGTAGGAATGCACATTATCTTAGTTTCAATTTCAAGCCTGCGTCTTTAGTGCTTTGAAATGCTATTCACAGGGCTTAGCAACAGCCTGAAATGTTTGTATACAAAGAATAGTGTTCATTCATATAGATGAGATATCTCTACCAATGCAATTGTATTAATTTATATGTGGTAGTGGAAATGCATGAATGTGGATTATCACATCCACCTGCTCAAAGTCCACAGAGAACATTGGTACTTTTTATTTCTTTCTGACGATTGGAACTGAACATGATCAAGCACTTTCTAAAGGTTGAATTATCTCCTATTTCAAATTCTGCTCAATTTCAGCTTCCTAAGGAACCTTTTATTAGACCTATATCACATATATATATATATGTGTGTGTGTGTGATTGATGGCCAGTCCAATTGTTCACCTGATCCTACAAACACATCCACTAACTTTTTGAGCAATTCACTGAGTTCATGTGTCTCTCTTGAGTGTAGATTGTTATTGAAATCTCAACTCTTGGCTTTATTTACTCTTGAAGCTTTATGCTTATTTGAGGATTCAGTACAGTAGTGACAATGTAAGTTTCTCATTATAATTTATGTCTGGAATATCATACTTATGACCATTCCAACTGGAAGCTGAATGTCAGTGTTAGAGACTAACATTGGTGCAACACCAGTGCTCAGACAGATACATCTTTAAGTAACTGCAGCCGGGCCCAGCCTAAGGCCAAATGAAAGTCTGCAGTTTTCTAAGTTTTGTATCATATTACCAGCTACTTTTAATTAATTTATCCAAGCTAGCCACAGCAATGTTGGCACTGGCCAAAGCTAATGAATGCTTTGTATATACACAAAAATGTGCACATGAATTCTAGTTCTTGTACCATGTTTTAGTCAAAGCACTGGTTTGGGCTTATTCTAGCCAGGACTGACCACTTATTCAGACACCAACGATACTGGAATTGGAGTGGTTTTGTTATGGGGAGATGTAATGAAGTACTTAATTACATATGTGAGCCATATGTTTATGCTCCTTAATGCCAATAGTGTATGACAAAGAAGGAAATGCTTGCTCTTGTAGTATTTGTCTAACATTACTAACACTACTTTCATGGTAGGAAATTCATCATTCAAGTGGACCATGCATCACTTAAATGGTGGATAAATAGACATTGGATAATGATGTTGCAAGAGAACAACTGCAACATAAGACACTGCCCAAGTCAGTCGTAAAGAAATGTCAACAAATTATTGTTTCAGCTAATGAAATCTTGTCCACTCATAAAATTCAGATCCAGGATATCAAGCAGCAGTGATGATAAGCCATACAAATAGTATCAATTCTGCTTTAGAAGAAATACCACAAATGACTAGTCACGAATTTTAGTAAGAGCAACTGAAGAACCCAAACCAAATTTGTATGTTACTTGAACGGCAAGGTGAAGTGCAACCACCATAAAGTTGCAAATATACTATTGTTACGTAACATCTGGCACTTGAATAATTGATTGTGAGTTTAAGGTGGCATGTTATATCATCATTATAAACCACACAGACTTGGTAAACAACCAGTAATGCAACTAGTGTTCCACAAAGCTCTAAGACAGGTGATACTTTATATTTTGAATAATGCAAGGACAAGATGGCACAAGGCCACAATTTAGGTGGGTGCCTCAAGTCTAGTGGTGAGCAAAAGATTTAACACATAGAGGGTAGTACAAAATCAAGCAAAGCTAATATGTGGGTGGAGGTTAGGTATCATATCAGATGATTAAGATTATATTCCTATGTAATGATGAAAGAAGTTTACATATAATACAATTTTAATTTGTAAATTAAGATCCAAATGGAGGAAACTAGTTCATCAACTGATTTGCTGCTGGTCATTATTACTGTGTGACAAGTGTATCATCCTGTTTGGAATGTTTCCTAGAAAAGGTCCAGCCATGATGTTTAACCTTACAATGCCTGCCAATATTCTGACTTATCCCAGGTCGATCCGACTTGGAATGTCAATCCTGGTTTGCAATATTAAGCCATGATTCTTCACAACTGGTTCACTTGCTTCATGACCAGTGAGACAGTATATTAAATAGCCATACTGCTGCAATGGATCACAAGTGCTTGCTCCTGATGCCAACAACACACAGAGTGGGCATGAATGATGCCAAGTCTAGTAGCAAAACCCAATCTGAGCATAGTCAGGCTGCGCAACTTAGTACTGAGATGTCTTGAATACAGGAGCATTCAATGTGCCTATCACCTCCAGTTTGATGCTGCCAACCGTACTGAAGGGTACTGCTCCAAAAGGACAACATTGGCACCCATGTAATGTGTAAGGGTGCTAGACCACTATGGCATGTTGGGGTAATATTTACTATAATTAACGCTAAGAAGTCTACAAGATCTTGGATCTAAAAGTTTATTTCCAAACATACAGCACCCCTCTAAATCCAGGAAAGCTATTAGAGACATCTTGACCAACCCAATCAACACCACAGCATCAGTCTCAACCAACCAGCAACCCTTGAGAAGCATACTACTTGCTGTTCCATACCAATCAGACTCAGCATACACACAGAAATTAAAGTTGTAGTAAATCCACAGCCAGTCTTTGGCTATAATATGGGTTGGACTAAGACATGAACTTTCTGCCAATGAAAAGGGGCTCCCAATGATGAACACCAGCAGATGCAAATAAACTGGTGCCTTTTGAAGTGCAGTTAAACATTGTATGGATAAACATAGATCTGCATTTTGTTACTTATTTAATTTTTTGGTTGTTGTTGTTTACACTGGTCCAAAATTTGATATAATTTGAAATTTAAGTTCCATATTTTGTTCTGTATCTGATTTCAAGTAACTGCCATATTTCTGGTGTATTTTTTACAATATTAATTGACTATACTTCTTTCTTCTTTCATTAACTTTATGTTATCTCGCTTAGTTTTGTAGGAAATGATTTATTCCACACTTTGTTAAAGTTTTTGAGTTTGTTCTTGGACCTCAGTTAGTGATCGTTATAATTTTGTACCAAGTTTGTTTAGAAAAACGTCTAGCTGCTACTTTATTTTACTTGGTTTCATTTATGTGAATTTTCTTATGTTCAAGTTCAATTTTGTTTCATAGTTTTAATTTCATTCGTATTAAGTTTAAACTTGTTTTTATGTTTCATGTAAAACTAATTGATCAGAATATTTGTATTTTCAGTTTTATGCTTCATGTTATTACATGCTTTGAATTTTATTTAACTTGCTTTTTATTCATTTTCATCATATTTAATCTGAATTTCATCATAATTTGATTTAAATAGTGTATGAAGTTTTATTTTGGTTTCATTCAATTTAGTATTTTACTTTCAGTTTAATGTTTTTTTTTATTTATGTCGATTAAAACATTCTGCAAGTCCAATACTACTGATTTTATAATTTCATTCAATCCTGTATTTAGTTTAATTCTATAACCAGTTTTATTTATCTTATGATTTAGTTTAAGATTTTTTTAGTGCTATAAATACATATAGGTGTCTCTGTGTTTTTATCATTTTAGTTTATGTCATTTAAACTTGATGTTGAGATTATCAAGTTGTGGAACCTATTTATTTGAACAAAGTTATCCTTTGTTATACTTAAGTAACTATCATGGCACTGTGTGTGTGTGTGTGGTGTGACATGATTACTGGAAGTTAAAACCTTGTCAGTTAAATTCTTGTTTGTTTGTTATGAATTTCGCACAAAGCTACACGAGGGCTATCTGCACTAGCCATCCCTAATTTAGCAGTGTAAGACT